AAAAATAAAATCCATTAGGTCTATTAATGACACATATATTCCAGAAAGCACAGACCGATTATGATGTAGTTTCAATCATGAGGTGCTAATATATGCACTGGAATGTAAAAGACCATATTTTTATTTACCTTAGAGCAAACTTTTGTGATGAAAGTGGTCATTACAGATCTATATTTGCAGTGGTTTTCCTGCATAAATAGGAAAAACCCATCAAAATAACTTGAAATATAATTTTGGTCGCTGAGCATGTTTTAGAAGTATCAAATACACAATATTAAATACAAATTACAGAACAATTTTACAATTTGATTATTCAAGTTTTGTATCCTCTCTTTTGAGATATTCAAATGCAAAACAGAGGCTTAAAAACTACAAAATACGCCTTTAGTATAACTCTTAAACTCAGCAGAGAATTAGATATCAACAGATATCAGACAGATCCCATTAGATATCTATTATTTATTTAAGTGTTTGTCATATTCCCTGCATAAATGCACCCTGTGCAGTTATTTCCCACGTTAAAAACCACCCGTGCATTTTCTTATAGCAATACTTCACTAGCTGAGGAAATACATGTTATTTTTCCCTTAATTGTTAAGAACTGTCTCAACCGGGCTCGATAGACTCAGTTTAAACATAGTCACTTGTTGGAAGTTTAATTATTGTTTTAAACTACTGATTAGCAGTTTTACACTAATAAGGCATTTCTGACAGCGGATAAACTATGAACAGTACAGAATAATTCTCCATATAAACAATTATAGGCAAATGAACATTTGGACTGAAATTACCAACTGTGTTTTTATACTGGTACCCCCCCATGGTGGAATGGCGCCCTGGGCAGTGAGCCTTACTACCTATATTAAAGCCTATAACGCAACAGGGTAAATTTAAATGCCGCAAAAAACACTAATTGCGCAATATTGTCGTAATAACTGTAGTAGGGCCTCCATATGCAATTCCCCTCTGGTAGCCATATGACTCTGCGTGTCAGTGACCTTCTTTGTTTCAGCACAAACGGCATGTTGTCTGGACAGTCTGGGGGAAAAAAGAAGCGAGAATTGGGTTAATTATGCAGGTGAGGAGACGCTGCTGATGCTGACATCAGATCCTGCCGTCGTCAGAGGCATCTGGAGCCGTGCGTAAATATTCTGAAGTGGCCGCGATGCCAGCAGCTGCTAAACGGTCCCGCGGAAAGGAGGGAGGGGGGGATTATATGAGGGCACTCTAGGCGGATGCTGGATTTATGATGGTAACACATAAGGCGTGAAATCTGCAATGACGCTTAAATGGGTTTATTTTTTACATGCAGCTCTTGTCATACAAAGACCTGTGTCAGTGTACCTACGCGTACAAAGTGGTGATGAAAGTGGACACAACGCGTTATGTTCTAGGGAATATATTACGCATGCTGCTTTGATGGGGAAGCTGACGTTTACAGAGCAGTTGTGGTAAAAAGTGAGCCGTGGTTTGTCCTGGTATGGCAACAATCACACCCTCCCTATGTGTCTGTGCGTCTGAGGGCCTAAGCAGCAAGGAGCGCGCCTTAAGTTCATGCTCTATCACTATGATAGGTGGTGTACGGCCGGCCTACCGCAATAACTGAACAAGATCTTTAGCAGGAGAGAAAGCGCTGAGAAAGACAGATGAAGTTATGAGGCGCTTTGATCTGGGAATCAAGCTCCGATAAATATTAAACAAAGAGCCTATACACGTGTGTATTATGATGTATGGCATGTCCAAGTCTAGAATAAGGAAATTACCAGAGAAAATTATATCAATAAATTTTCTAAGTATAAACGTTGATTATGTTTCGATTTTCATTCAAGAAAGCGTTGGCCGCTCCTTTTTTTCCTCCGTGCGCGCCTTTCCTGCATGCGTGTGCGTGTGAATAAAGGGGAGAGAGAGAAGAGAGAGTTGCAAATGCAAGCAAAGCAGCCGAGCCCTGAAGGTGTACAATTTATGTAATCTGAGTGTGGAAATGAACTGGGTAATTTATTGGAAAACACAAAGTCAGGAAGATTGGATCAGCCACAGCCTATCCAAGGGCTCCTATCCATCAAGTTCCAATTAACAACCCAACCATTGAGTTTTAATGGCTTTCCAATCTACTGCCCTGATAGACTCATCAATTCCTCGGGGAGAAATTAAGAAAATCGACCGCCCCCTCGGCGTTCCAGTGTCATTCTTCACAGCAACTATATGTCAAATTAAAAACACAATTAAAATTTAAACTGTTCCAATCAGACGCTGCTCTGCAACCTATGTTTCGCTTAATATAACTTTGATGAAAATCTGATGCCCGCGTTCAATCAGGAAAGCAAATGGCATCAGTAGAAAAACAAGATTTTCTCCTCAAACACACGATATTTGACACAGCACGTGGTGAGGGCACCACCTTTCTCTGGCTGGAAGTTTTTAGTTGGTAGCTGACGTTTAGATCTTCTTTCACATTCAAAATTGTCCATTCCAACAAGCATTTTGAATGATTAAGTAAGGGAAACCTCAGATTAGAATCAGTCTCTTGAATAGATTCAAACTCTAAAAAAATTTTTTAACACAAATTCAAACGGAAAAGTTTGAGGGGGTTAAATAATTTATTTATTTCACAATTTTATAACATTTCCAACAACTCCTTAAACCCAACTTCCACAGTGCTTTCTCAACACAGGAGATTGCTGCAAAGCCTCAGTCAATCACGTGATCTTGGTAAATGCTTGGTGATACTTTTGGTTAATAAACTTTTATCAGTTAGCATTGTAAATCAAATGAACTGAACTTTTTTTTCTACAGTCTTTAAGTTTGCATTTTTTGTGAAAATTAAATGAATCAATTAATTGCTAAATTACATGTCTGTTAAAAATACCTACAGGGCAATATCTCCTGCTTCCTCCCTACCATGACTGCCTGCGAGCCTGCCTTTAAAATATAAGTTTAATGTTCACCATTCATGAGTAAAATATTCTGTAAAATTTCTAACTATGGTGGTTTAAAATATTATATTCCATAACAGCACGCTGTCTCCCTCGTTCTTAAAAGGGTCAAAAATAACATGGTAAGAGATTGTAAAAACCTCTGAACTTCTCTTACTGGTTTTGCTTCAAGTAGACCCATACCACACCAGGTCTATAAGTAGCACCCATCCATTTGACCCCTTTAAAACTCTCTTGATGCACCCCTGCTCATGGTTCACATTTTAGGGTTTGTTGCATTGACAAGGTTCTTGACATGGACACTTTAGTTTCTGTGCTCAACACTTACCCACAGAGAGAACAGGTTGGTATTATGCAAAAAGTTAACTTCAATAGTGCTTCCAAATTGAAGTACTGTATGTGAATATTATCCAGTCAGGTCACTTTTAATGCAATAGCCAATACACAGTGCGCTTAATCTTTCCTTCCCTTTTTTTGCCCCACCCCTGCTTTACATAAAGATGTCGTACCAATGGAAATTATCGAGTGGCCATTTTTGTTTTCCAATTTATGCGCGCAAATCAAGGTCATGAGCCGCGTGTGAACGCGGCTGTTCTTTACTTGACGCCGCGTGCTGCAGACATTCACGGATCAATATGTGCCAGAGGAATAATACCATACTAATCTATTAATTTGCAGTAATGGGGCCGCGATGAGTGTTCACGAAAAGGTGCGCGTCAATATACTGGGGTGATTTGATAATATTTGAATGAACCCTTTGTCTGTTGATGAGGTCATCATATGAGTTTATGCTGACTGATTAATTTCCAATAATGAAAAGAGAACGGCCTCAAAGGCTTCCAAACAAATACATAAATACACACACACACACACACACACACACACACACATATATATATATATATATATATATATATATATATATATATATATATATATATATATATATATATATATATATATATATATATATATATATATATATATATATATATATATATATATATATATATATATATATATATATATATATATATATATATATAGACGGCTTTAGTAGCATAAAAAGTTAGTATTAGTCACCAAAAAAGATTTAAATGCAATTACAAAAAAAAAGATTCTAGGATTTTATATTATTTTTTCCCCCTTTAATTAAACTTAATTTCTTTGTCTTAGACAATTCCATATCGAGCATTAAAATGTGTTTATTGCTCTATGTTTAAACTCTACGAAATATATTGCGTAAAAATAAAGAAAAGAACGCATGACATCTTAATCCATTTGTTGTTGTTGTTGTTTTGAGTGGTTTGGGTATCATAAAATAATTACATTGTCATGATGTATCTTTCTGTTATAAGTTGAAGTCCAGTGACACCTGTAGGACCCTTTGAGACAAAGTATCTTTTAAATAATTCATCTGTAATTTGAAAATGCTCATCTTCTTTTACACATCTTTATTGTGGATGAGCCGATCATTTTCAGCAACTGTAGAATAATGCGAGCTTTAATTGTGCAGCATTACTATTATTACTGATGTTATTTATACGTGTTCAGTTTTTTTAATGGCTATAAGTAAATTTTAGGGGCTATTTGATTAAATGTCATAAGAATTCCTAAATCATATTCATATCCAAGCTGACTCATAAGTTCATAACTCTTTAAGCGTTTTCATAAAAATGTAGGTGGCACCAGATATACAAAGTAAAGAAAACAAATTAGTGGTGTAGAAAATGAAAAATAATTATGAACAGGTGGTTTCACATTGAAATGACACAAACAAACGTTAAAAGACACCGGCTTACTCTGCGAGAATACATTCCTCTTCTGAATGCATTACCCCTAATTTTGGAAAGATGGTGCCAATTACGCACGTAATTGACCGAGGCACTCTTTATGTAAAATAACCTTTTTAAGAGCGGAACACTCTGATGATGGCTCAACAGCCACCTGCTGTTGCCTAAAGAGGATGTGGATGGAATCCAGGTTTAAGCTTTAATTGTATATCATTTTAAATATTCAAATAATCGTGTAGAAACACAAGATATATAAAAAAACAAAAAAAAACAATAAGGGATATTTTCAGTTTATTTCACAATATGATCCAGCAATACAATATCAAAACGTCGTTTTTGTTATTATTATTATTTTTTTGTTTTGTTTTTTTGTTTTTGTTTTCTTTTTTGCTGTACAAACGAGAAGCTTGTAAGGAAATTTCTTCTCCTGCGCCTCTTTAAATATATACATTTACATTTTTTTTACATCAGTGAAATCTTTTACAGCATTTTTTTAAATCCCCCGTTTAAAAAACAAAAACAAACTTTCTTTTCGAGAATTGTGCTTAAGATATCTGTCTGTGTGGAGGGAGTGTTTGAAAGGCTCCTTAAAAACAGAAAGCTACGTGGGTATTTTTACAGCTAGAGTGTCTTGATTGTCCCCCGTCAAACGCTTAACAAAAAGAAGAAAAACATATAAAACACTTACTTCACATTTAGTGAATTCATTCTGTAGCTGTGGAAAAAGGAAATAAAAAAAAATCAAATTGGTGATAAGTTGGTCGCCACTTTTATGTAAACAAGTTTTTGTCTTTCTTTTTTTGCATCGCACAGAACTGGTATTTCCAGCAACAATCACGGTTTAAAACAAGAAAAAGAAAATACACTATTTAAGCAGTGGACAGACTCCTGAGATGTAAATAATATTAATAATAATAACAGTAATAATAATAAACAACCTTATGGGAAATGACACAATTACCCCAAGTCAGGCTTTGCCTGACAGTGAAAGTCAGAGTTTTTCTCTTTGTTTTTCAGTGTCAGACTTGTAGAAAAATATTGTCTTTTTTATTGTTAGGATAAGATCATTCATCAAAACTTTGCGACGCCTTTCAAACCGGTCTGAGCAGCGGCACAGATGTGACGATGGGATGGGAATAATAGACCCCCGGATGAGGGAATGTGAGCAGCGGCTGGCTAACGGGCACGCTCGCCGCTGCGCCCCCCGCGCCCTCTGAAGCAGAGTTTTCATGGTAAAGAATTGGCACCCTGACTATCCTCTGTGCCGCAGCGTGGCTGAGGTTAGCGGCCTCCAGTTCGGCGGCCAGTTGTCTCTTCCACTTGTTCCTTCGGTTCTGAAACCAGATCTTTACTTGGGTTTCAGTCAGGTGCAGGGAGGCGGCCAGACCCGCGCGCTCCGAGCTGCTCAGGTAGCGCTTCATGTCGAAGGTGGACTCCAGCTGAAACACCTGGCTTCGGGAGAACACCGTGCGCGTCTTCTTCTTGCGACAGGGCTTCTTGTCCTCGTCGCGCTTCTTCCACTCCTCGAGTTCGTCCTTCTTGGCCTCCTCCGTGTCGCTTTCCTCCAGGATGATCTCGTCGCTGCTTTTGTTGTTGCTGTGCTCATCTTCCTCCTCATCTTCGTCGTCTTTGGTGTCCGGTTCGGATTTGAGCACCAGGTCCGGGGAGTCTCTGTCCGTGCCAGAGGTTGGAGAAGAATCTCTTGCTCCTGGTTTCTCGATACCTGGAAATAGAGACGTGGAGATAAAGACATTGCTGTTTATGCGTTCATTTAACACCGCCTGTTGACATTCAGAGGAGTTTTTGGAAAATACAGTACAAGGAAAAATATAATAGCATGTATAAAAAGTTTTTTTTTCAATTCAACTGAACGTATTTAATTAATTCTGAAAAGATTTAATCTGATTGGTTTTACTTTCTCCTTCCCGCGCGCTATAACCCCACAAACATAAATCATAAAAAAAACAGGGATGTACAAAAAGGCTGTCATCGAGGAAGCCTCCAGGGGTAAGATGTGCACCATGAGCAAGCTGCGCTTCGTCACCCTTATCCAATGGTTTCATCATTTCTGCTTCATTTTATGCTCAGCGTGTTGCTTTATTCATATATTAACCCACGCTGTGGCATGACAAAGTAGGCCTTCATAGAGCCCAATGTGTTACAAGCCAACATCTCTCAGAGCGCATCAATTAAAACATTTAGAGAAATCTATTTTAAAGAGGGGTGTTGTAAAGATTATAAAATGTTTGCTTATTCAGCTTATCGTAAAATATAAAATCAGACTTAATATTTTTCTTACTGCTCTTCTTACCTTCAGTTCTGTGCAGATGAGCCGCTGAGCTGAGAGTATAGGGGTACCACCAAGCCGAGGTGCGCTCCAGGTAGTGCGCCGGCAGAGTGAATCTCTGCGCAGGCACCTCAAAGCGGGGAAAGTTGAATTCCCCGACCTGGGAAAGGGAAAATCCTCCTTCTAGGGCCGCCTTAGCAGAGACAACAAGCGGTGGTTTGGGTTTAGACGGCTTGGTGTCACAGTTCAGTAGGTTCTTAATGAAGAAAGGGGAATCCTTGGCCGGAGCGCACGTCTCTTGCGTAGTCTCTGGCATCGCTGCAGCTTTGATCTGAACGTGGATGTCCAGGAAATTTTAGTAGAAGCAGAGGAGGGGAGTGGAGGGGAAGGAAAAAAATACTGACTTACAAACACTGGATATCCCTGGTGCTTGAAGTTCCTGTTTTTCTAACTCGACTTTACCCCGTAGAGCTTCGTCAAAACACACTTACAACTCGGCGGCTGAAATAATGAAATAAAGCGCTGATGCGTGTCTCAAAAAGACAATCAGGGGCATGTCTCATCCCGGAGTGTTTCCGTCAGAATCGGGGGGGGAAAAAACCTCTTTGCGTCCCAGCGTGTCAGTCAGTCTGGTGTCTGATGCTAATGATGAAATAAAAATGTCATCCAAGTTAAATGCGGAAAGTATAGGCGATTGGGCATGTACAATGGCAAATGGGATTAAGGGAGAGACTGTGAGGGGAGGGAGGAAAAAAAGGAGGGAGAGACCGTCCTCCCCTCCTCTTCCTACTTCGTGCGCCCTGTGGCTGCAGGCTATGCGCGCTCTCCTGTTATTGGTCTCATACAGTCCAATTAGTGGCAAATGGACAGCTCCAAAAAGGAGGATTTGGATCCGTCTCACAAGATTCAACATACATCGCATCAATAAAAAACCTTTAATTTATTTTAATATAAAGGCTTATGTACTCTAATTTATTTAAATATTTGGCTCTACTTTTATATATTTGATATGATTAATTCCCTGCAATTTAAAGAGTAAACAATATAGGTATGATTATTTTAAATAATCCACAAAATTGTTTTTAAAATTCTTTGTAATTAGGCATATTTTTGAAACAAACGTTATTATTTTGATAATTGCTTCACTAAAACATATTCTATTAAACAAAAATATATTTATAAAAGCATATCTCATCATGAGTGGGTGTTAGGTTTCATGTCAACAACCATCTTAGAGCTACCAACAGGCTTGTCTTGTATAATTTCACTTAATGGATAATGACTGTCTAATACTGAATAAATAACAATTGAATTAATAAAAATTCAACTTATTTTTTTAATAATTATTCTTTTTTCACTTTAGATGATCCAAACTAAATGAAATGCTTGTATTCTGTTAACACTTTTAGCGTTAATTTATTGTCAATTTATTCTGCTTTTATAATGTAAAAAAAAAAAAAAAAAAAAAAAAAGGTCTGCAGCTCCACAGTGCGTCACCAATGGGCGATTAGATTCATATTTCTAATTTATTGATTTGCAGCGAGGGCCACTTCCACAATGTCTGGGGGTCGCGCAGTCATTTATTCTTTTAATTCCTAATCGATTTTGTTAATTCATCCCTCAGATTGCACTCTTTGTAAAATGCGCCATGTATATTCACTCATTGATATTAATTGACTTGTTAAACAGCAGCAGCCGAGCTGGTTTGGAGACACTGGAGCTGGTGTTGAGGAGGAAAAGCGGAGGGACAGCGCCCTCTGTAGAGAGCAGGGAGCTGGTGCCTCTTTTTCACGGTGCAACATTGTGGGAAATCTCACTCAAGGCCCCCATCAGACAAAAAAATAAACTTGAGCAGAAAAAAAGTGAATCAAAAATTGAACATGAGCATTATGCAAGTAGTACAATTTTAAGATAAAAAAACAGTAAACAAATTTATATATAGGAAAAATTTACACATTTGCAACTCCATTTATTTATCTTTGACAATTTCCTTTAACCAACCAATATGTCTAAAAGAAGGATTTTCTGTGATTCAATTATCTCCCTTCATTGATAAATTATATAAATTAAAATGTGTGATGTCAAATGAACGTGTTCTATATCATATTGAACTGCTCGAATTGAGGCACCCTATTGCAGCAATTGCAATTGTTTGCAGCCAATGTGGCTTAATGCAGCCATGTTACGTTGGGATGCAAACAAGAACATTTCTACTGGAAACCAATTAAAAATGTCACACTACTACAATAAGATTTGGCATACACTATTATTTTTGCATTATTATTTACCAATCACATGTTATTTATTGTTATATAAGTAGATGGAAAATGAACAGTTCACATCGAGACATTTTCCCTAAGGTTAAGGTGCAAAGCTAATGACTTAATGCAAATTTTTGGGCGTCCTTAAATAAAAAGCTTTATACCAGTTGGCTTAATAAAAAAAAAAAATAGCTGCAATGTATTACAACTATGATTTTTTTAATGAATGAATGTGACTGAATTAGTATATTTCTATATGACTTGGACATGTGTGATTTTATTGATATGAATTAAATCCCTTTTCTTGTAAAGTTCATGTACTGTATATTGATTTTTATATGGATTGATGGTATAGCCAAATTAGTAAATATTTTTCCTAATCATTTATTTATGTTTGCTTTCTCTATCTGGTCGAGAAAAAATGCCAGCTTTAGCAGATTAAAAAAGTCACAACAAAACTTGTGGGTTGAAGATAATCTAATGTGGTTTATGTTGCTAAAGCAGGCCTTTCTCTTATTATTTTAAGGTTTGATTAAATACAACAAACTGAGTAATGGATTAGACTTAAAATTTCAACTCAAGAATTTGATGAAGTAACCAATGTCAACAATTAAAGCTATCAGAAAAAGGCATGACCGATAACGTAAATAACTAAACCTGAAATATTTTTGCCTATTAGGGATTTTAATTTTATTTCTGCATTATGATCCAGACTGCATAATACAGAATCTAAATTAAAATACATGTATAATATTTAAACCCGATATAAAGGCTTTTCTAGACCAATACTTGATAGCAAGTTAAAAAATAACGCAACCAATTTTGGTATTTACTTAATCATATTTAGTTACTTTAACAAAATTTTTGTATGTCCTACCCTGCTAACATGACACAATTGTGTTAAAGAAACTAAATATGATTGAGTAAATGCCAAAAACGGTTGCATGATTTTTTATCAGTGTATGTGTATAAAGTGATGCATAAACTATTAAGAACATACAATTAAAAACTGTTCTGTTACTAGTAATTTAACTTTTCTGTATCTTGAGTTTTTCAGAGATTTTGTGTGGGTACAATCATATTGAAAGAGGGCTATTCCTGTACTATGTCTTTACAAGTTTCTTCACCAGTAACTACAACTGGTTTTATACAAAAGCATTGTGATTAAGCTAAAACACCCTGTTGGCTTATCCTAATTATCTTATTGCTGGGTTTATATTATTTGGTCCATCAGTTATTATACTTCTGTGTTTTCTGGAAAAAAAAAAAAAAAACATGACTGGACTGCAATGAGTTAACAAGGAAGTTATGGAGTCATAAAAATCTAAATTTTGCTAGTGGAGATGTGAAAATGAGGAGTACAAGTCTAAGTATATAAAAGCATAAAATATATTGGAAGTAGTGCCTGGAATACACCTTGCAGTTCATCAACCTAGGAAGCCATATTAATAATGTGTCACACTCAGGTTTAGTTCTACATGTTACAAATCTGGAATTGCTCCCATTGAATCATTTCAGGTGAAATGGTCAATTCAACAGAAGTTTTCAAGCTGATTTGGTGATGCGGCATCATAATGCCTGCCTTAAGTTTTTAATCATGTTGCTGTTCCACTTTCACAGATGAAATTTTGGAGTCTGACATAACAGGTGTGATGTCAGCAGTTATGCATTTGTCCTCCTGCACTGTTTTGTTTGTTTTGGTTTGGTTTAAGCTCAGGCTATTTTGCTTTCATCATAGCTGTATGTCCCGCCTTAAACCTAAATATGCGTTCACACCTAATCCAAAACATACAAAAACTTAGCCAATTTCATCTGCTTATGCTCACCTTGAAATTTGCCTGGCCAGTGAAAGTATTTCACAAGGCTGGTGAACTTACCCACTAGGCGAGGGGCTCCTACTTCATTGAGTCTGCTGGTTGTTGGTTTTACCTCATCATGGCGGATATGGATTTACAGTAAATGGCAGTGCTTTTTACTTTAGAAAGACAAAAAAGAATTGTAGGCATTCCTAGGTTCATCAGTTTCCCAGAGACAGAACCAGTATGGGGAATACCACCACTACCTACAGAGGCTACGTCTGGATAAGGGTTGCTTTCAATAATAATTTCCCCCGAAATATTACCCAGATTAGGCCCTTGCTTTCCTGCATTGGGGGGAAAAAATCACCCGGACAATCGAGTGTTAAGTGAGATGGCATTCTGGAGCCTTGGCAGAGCCATCAAGAAATCAGTTGGAGAACATTGGCACAGAGAAAGACATAACTGTTGTGTCACAGCCGACTCAGGCCATGCAACCACAAGGTCCCACAGCAGCAGATCCTAGGAGCGATCTGGGGAATCAGCGCACTAAAGCGTTGAGAGAAGGCACAGAAGCCCATTGGGGAAACAGCACCAGCGCGGAAAGGCTACAGCTAGTTGGGGCTACCTATAGATGGTAACTTTGGAGGAACAGAAGTGCACAGCGGTAGATCAGATAAGTACATTAGGAAGACAGAACACAGAAGGTGGGGTAGAGACTACAGCTATACGAGAGTAGGACAGTGGTACATCAGATAAGCCAGCCAAGGAGGCAGAGCTAGAGGAGGCTACAACTCCCCGGAGCTAGCCTCTACAGGCTAACTACAGAAAATGAATGGAGTACCACGGAGGGTCAATGAGGCTTTCCTAGGCAGACAGTGATGAGCTGGGGTGAGAAGGCATCCTTGTGTTCAGATTTTTCAGATTCTGAAAAATCTGCTTTGCTTAATTCACAGGCGAAGCAGCGATCACATTTTGCCAAATTAGCCAAAATTACGCTGTTCGCCCCCTTAAATTCTCCACCTTTGCCTTGCGAAGTATCGCTCTGCTTTGCTCTGCTTTTCTCCGCTCCAGATCTGTGCTCTACATAGAGATAACATGGGAATCCTTCACTCCAGCTGTGAAACACGCGGTTGGTGCAAACATACCTTAATACTGCTTTGGATTCTTCAAAGATAATTTCAAATTGAGCGGGATAAGATGTATTATTCTGTGTTTGTGAACTCATAAATAGCAAGATAATTTTACTTGCAAGAAAGGTTAGTAGTTCTTTTTAGCGGGAGCTAAAATGTAAGAAACCGGTAAGTTGATGGATACAGGAGTCGGTACTGCCAGCTGATGACGGCTGTGTACAACAAAATTTATGTCTGCTGATTGTGGCATGCAAAAATTCTTTTTAGACTCAAAAGGACTAAGTAAACATGACCAGGACAAATATATTGTTTTATTTTAACATTAACATTACTTTTTAGTGTCTTTTATGGGCATAGTATATTAGAATTTGTATGACTCTACGCATGCAAACTGTGTAGAATCATGCACCACAGCCTTCTTTTCTACTCTTCTTGGACACTATGTTGCTCAAACCATACTTGAAACTGTTTCATGGAAAGGCAGGCTAGAAATGAAATTTCTTCAATCAAATGAAGTACAGTTCTTATTATGCAGAGATCACGAACATGTAGTAGCCTTTCCACAGGCAACATT